ATACAATCGACGCATAGGTGACGATGGGCCTAGCAAGGGCCGTATATAGCCACAGTGCTATTCTGGGACTAATTCCCCAGGTCCCCCCGTGAAGCTCCTACACGTCCACAAGGCCGCCGTAGCTCTCCCGATAACTCTATCGATATGGGTATTCCAAGAGAGACGATCATCCAGGGTTACCCCCAGATACTTCACCTCCCTCGAGTACATTAACCAAACAGAATTGGGCTCGTTAATCTGTCCCTGCTTCTGCGTCTGGTGAATGCGACCAAAGTGCTCTTGCTTGGATTTATATTTAACTCAACGCCTTTGCACCACCTTTCCACAACACGTAAATTTTGCTGTAGAAGATCAGAGATAGTGCTCTCAAATTTTCCCCGCACGACGAAGGCCACATCGTCAGCGTATCCCCAGACACACGCCCCGGAGCCCCTGAGAGCAGCGATTAGATCATCCACTACAATGGACCACAGGAGTGGTGAAAGAACCCCGCCCTGCGGACATCCTTTTGCAGCGGAGATGAAGAGTATATCGTCAGCTATGGTTGACTTAATAATCCTACCCTGTAGCATCCGATTAACCCATCTGCTAGTCGTCGCATCAATCCCTCGTTTGTGCAACGACTCACAGATGACATGATATGGGGTGTTGTCAAAAGCTCCATCTATATCAAGGAAGCAGCCAACCGCCACCTCCCGCACTTCCAGTGAGTTTTCAAGGACCCCCACCAGACTCTGCAGAGCGAGTACAGTAGACCTTCCCGACTGAGAGGCGTACTGAGATTCATGCAAGGGATTGCTTCCCAGTGCACCGTCCCGTATAAATCTATCAATCACTTTTTCCATTGCTTTCAATAGAAAAGAAGTAAGGCTGATTGGACGGAAAGACCTTGGGTGGTTGCTTGGTCGCTTACCCACCTTCGGAATATACTTCACTTTAGCCACCCTCCATGCCTGAGGGATGTAACGCATAGCTGGCACGAAAAATTTCCAACAGTGCTCTAGCGATATGTTGGAAACCCCTCTGCAAAAATGCAGGATATATCCCGTCATCACCTGGAAATTTGAAGGGCCTGAAAGAGAAAACAGCCCATCTTACCCTGCCTATCGTGAAGACTAGACGGGATCGTTGCCAGTCATCCCTCCTGGGCCAGGATGCCCTCCGTTCGGTGACTGCATTTGAGTGATTCCGAAGAATCTCTGAGTCAGGAAAGTGCGTTGACGCCATAAGCTTCTACGTCTGCTTTCCGTTCTCAATCATGGAGCCATCAGGACGTTCCATTAGGCCCAACCCGCCTGCATATTTTTTGGAAAGCACCCTGTGAAGACGCGCACTGCTGGGGAGGTCATCAATGCCCTTGCAGAACGCCCTCCACGAGATTCTCTTCGCTTTCCTAATTTCTTTATTGTATTTTGTGAGTGAGTCCTTGTACTCTTCCCACGAACCTGACGCCTTGGCCTTATTGAATAGCTTTCTGGTGTTCAGTCTAAGCCTTGAAAGCTCTTCATTCCACCACGGGCACTTCCTATTGCTCCGCCTCGGCTTAGCACGGCAGCTCCCGTGATAGGCATTAGTAATAGCCGCCGTCAGGGCCTCGCTGGCCAGTTCGATATCCATCACCGTTCTGACAGAAGCAGGAACGGAACTAATCCCATCCATGAGGAGCGTTTCGAATTGACTCCAATCTGTGGATTAGGGCACCCGATAAATTTCTTCTGCCAGGTCCCCGGAGACCATGATATCAAACCTAATCTGCCTACGATCGGACATGGATGTCTCATTTGAGACATGCCATCCACCAACCCTACTGCCGATAAATTCAGTGCAAAGGGTGATGCCAAGGACCTCTTTCCTAATTGCATTTATGAATGTCGGCCTATTGCCCTCATTCATAATCATTAATTTATTGCTATATATAAATTCAAGTAGGCACTCACCTCTTTTGTTTATATTGCTGCTTCCCCAGACGGTGTGGGGGGCATTGACATCACTTCCTATTATAAGTTGGAAGTTCCTTCTTCCACAAAAGTCCACTAGATCCTTCAGTTGCTCATCCGGATGGGCACAGTCCCCCGGGAGGTAGGATGAGCACACAATGAACTCTGTCCAGCCCCCGCAGGACTTCACTTTCACCAACGCAGCTACTTGATCCTTAGAACAGTAATTTGATTATAGTCAACCACATTACTTATGACTACTAGAGGTGGCCTAGAGCTTTTCGTGACATCGCCTAGATTTTTAGAATGAGTTTAGAAAGGAACATCCGCTTTCTCTGCGTTGATCGTCACCTAGACCAATTCCGGAGATGATTCTGCTTTCCTTTTCTTACTGGACCTCTTTTGCTTTAGGATCCAATCTGTTTCTCTGGCGAGTTCTTCTTCATTTGTTGAGTAGGCGTCTAAGATTGACGTTCACCTGCTTTGCTTGTGGTGCAATGTCTTTTTCTTTATGACAACTATCATTGGACTTATTGTTTGTAATTTGCTCATGTTTCTCTTTCTTTAGTTTCTCATTCTCAGTCCTCAGTTGAAGAACCTCGTTTTTAAAAACCTCTTCTAGTTGGCTAATCCTTTTATGTATGTTTATTTATCAGCATTCTGATCATCCCTTTTTTGTTTCGAGCTTTACTCATGTTTATATCCTTCTTGGTTTGTGGAGCTTGAGTGTTCGATAGTCCACCTTCCATAACTTTATTGTTTTCTAAAATCCGCAAATGCAATAAATGGCTCTCCCCAGAAGCCGTAGAGCCGACCGCCGAGGAGGGTGGATTCCCCAACGTAGTTAGATTACCACCTGGGGTACGAAACCCTTTTGTTTTCTCCATCGCACAAATGACTCATGTTTTCATTTTATACCTCCTGCCAGGATTCGAAAACTGCCGTCCCTTACGGATCAGAAGCAAACCCTGGAGCCGCCTATCCTAGGTTAGGAGCTTCCGGATTTACCACCCGCGCTTCCTAACCAAAGAAATCCGGCTTAAGCGGCGAGTACTCGATTTCATCCGCTCTGGTCAGCTTTACTAAATGAGTTTCCCAGGGGACAGCCCGGAGATAATTATGTTACCTACCTTCTGGGAGGTGAGAGAAGGATTCGTTGGCAGAGCTGATGTTTTCAGAGGTCATTTCCTAGCATTTGCAGCTTCACATGTGAGAAAAATGTGAAACCTACTATGACCCATGCCAAGCTTTGTCTCCCAAGAGTAAATATGATTAAATAATTTTTTCAGAATTATCAAATGATGATGAACTATATCAGATCATCAATAGATGATAAGTTTTAGTATTTCAACCGGTAAATCATCTGGTCTAGCCGGTCTTTAGATAATTGGATAGCTTTCGAACTCGTGAGTAGGTATTGGGTGCTGGGAAAAAATCAGCCCATATCGCACGCCCCACTTTCACTTTCTTATTTCCTGGTAGATGACCTGTTAAAGTGTGTCATGACCTGTATAACGGGTCGTTTATTTCCTGGTATAGGTAGATGACTTGTTTAAGTGTGTCATGACCTATGTACATATGAATGTACGAAGCTGAGGTGGCCGCCAGGTCAATGAACTATAAAGTAGGTCAAAGGTTGCAAAGCAAGTTGTTTACTTGCCCGAGTTCAGCGTACTTGAGACTTTGCATGATTTGTTTACATGTGAGTTTCCTTTGCCGGAGTTGTCCAGCAGATAAGGAAATTTAAATTAAATATTTTAAAAATAGTATTAGGTAATCAGAAATATCAGAAAGTACGTATTCTTAATTTTACCTTGATAGTAAAAAAGGAAAAAACTTGTTATATTTACATTGAGGTACCTATAATTTTTATTTTCTACCTTAGTTCTTGTTATTGTAGCTAGTTGCTTGCGCACCGAATTGTTTTCGTTTTTACTAGTTGTTTACTTGTCCGAGTTCAGCGAACTTGAGACCTTGCATGATTGATGTGTAAGTATGTCATGACCCATTGATTGTTGTTGATTCGAGGAGTTGTATGGCGTTGGTATCGTCGAGCAAGTGTTAGTTAATGGCGGAAGTTATTTTTAAGGTCGTAGACCTAGCTTTGAAGTAAAGAGTTCAGGAAGTTGGGAATAAAGAGAATGTTTTTATAAATAATGTTAACGGAATATCATGAAAAAAGTAGTATTATTTTTATATAGGTACCATGTGTAAGAATACTACTACTACAACTTTTTTTATTATTTTGAAGAAGAGTGTAGAAAAATGCAATAAGATAACATTTATTTATATTATGATTAATTACATCTTGTATTGCTTTTCTTATTTTGTTTTGCTTCTGTTGTTTAATTTTTCGCATTAAAAGGTAAAAAGAAATATGCAAATATTTCAATGCATTTTATAATGCATAACATACATATCTATTCATATATATGTAGTTACTTAAGGTTAAGTTTAGGAAATAGAAGGAATGAAATTCTTGTTCGATTCTTCGTAAAACAAGAAAAAAATGTTGAAGGCTTAAAAGTAATATGTAAAGAATGATCTGGTTTTGATTGTGGTTTTTATAAAAGCAGAATAAAGAAAAAAAATAAAGCATCTTTTTAACTCATATATTAAAAATGTCGTATTTTTTAAATTTTCTGAGAGCCTGGTACTAAGTATATGGTGTTATTTGTATTTTGAAAAACAACAAAAAAATAGATTTAAATGTTGTTCTTTTTTCTTATGGAAGCAGCAGATTTCATAACATAAAATCTAAACCAATGGAAAAAGGAAAATTATGAAACATTTAAAAACACATAATTATTTTTATTGTAATTGAAATTTATTTCGACCATAACTCATATCTGAAAAAATTAAAAAAGACCTAGGAAAATAAAAAAAATACCTGAAAGTTGAAATAAAATACAAATCTTTCATTTTACTAATTTTTATTTTCATTTTTAAACAAAAAAAATTAAATTCCTTAAATACTTAAATAATTAAAATTATTTATATTTTTGACAATTTTAAATTTTTATTATCTGTTGTTTTTATGATGAATTTCCCTGAATTCACCAAATGAAGGTAATTTTTATTTAATTTAAAAATCTTGACGTAATTTTCAGGCATAAAAATGTAATTATTTTGGGTTACAAACACCCAATAAGGTTTTTTTGTATTTTTTCTCAATTTTTCTTCTATGCCTTCTAGGGCATAGTTTTCATTTCGGTCCATTTGTTGAACCGTTAAGTATTTTTTAACAACCGTTTGACTGTTAAAAATACGTATGAGATCCATATCTGGATCCTCCTTTTCTTTTTGGGCCTGAGATTCGTCAAACCCAATTGAAAAACAATCCAAAATTTGGATGCTGTCTTGTTGTTGTTGTTGATGATATTTTTGCTGTTGCTGTTGTTGTTGCGGTTGTTGTTGCTGTTGTTGTTGTTGTTGATTCAGCTCTGCCTTTTGATGACTCATTCTTTTCCCTTTTTCGGTAGTCATCAAAATTCGGCTTTCTTCATAGGTCAAGTCAAGCGATTCCATTTCTATTAGGTATTGATATATATTTTTTCTTGATAATAGAAATGCGACTGTTGAATATTTAGAAAATTCTGAGAGTATTTATACAAAAACTGAGTATATAAAATCTTCCATAATCAAATACAATTATATGCATTACAGTTTTTCAATTAGAAATCATAATTAATTTTATTACAAAATGACAGAATAATTTTTTAAGATGATTAAAACCACAATGTCGCAAGTTTTCCTATTTTTAAAATAGTTTCAATACAAAGTTGTTAAAGGATTTTTTCTTTAAATACGAAAGTCGAAAAAAAATTCTTAAACCATAATTTATGTATCACGATTAAACTATAATTTTGAAGTGTACAATGCAATTGATTGCATCGCATTTGGTGTTTATCTTTTCAATTAGAAATCATTGGATTCTAAGTCTAAGGTTTAATTAACTGAAATATGATTTTGCTACAATGTAACAATTAGTTTCTTTTATTATTAATATAATAAATTTGAATCCGTTTACAGCCAGTATACTTTCGTATTTTCGAATAAAAACATGGCGCGCAAATTTGTTTTAAAAAAATTTCTACAATCTTTTCAAGAAAATTTAAAGGCGTATACCATCGAAAGTGAAAACATATCCGTCATAAAACGGTTCAATATTCAAGGTCGCGTAATAAAATTTAAAGTTAAAGCAGCACCATCACAGCTAGAGCCAATTGAACAAGTTTTGAAATACATTCTTGAAGGAGTTGCCCCCACAGATCAAATAGGATTGACATTTTGCGATGAAAGTTTTGAACACAGAGGACCGGGATGGGTGAAATTCCAGGAGGCGAGGGAGCTTAAATTTGAAGACGTGTGGAACATCATATCAAATATTTTTCAGAGTAACTCTGAAGGTTTAAGCTCTGATAAATTTTGTATAACAGCAACATGTGTTAAATTACCACAAGGAACCGGTAAAACTTTAAAATACACAAATTTTGATGACGAATGCAAACACCGTAGAGGAATTATTACAATTTCAAACAGAGATAATTTATGCTTGCCTCGAGCTTTAATTGTAGCGATCCATCAAGTCGAAAAATCTGTAGATTATAAACAAATAATAAAAAGTAATTAAAAATTGCAAACGAAAAAAGCCACAGAACTTATTGAAAATGCAGGTCTTACAATTCCTAGCAAAGGCTGCGGGGTCATCGAACTAAGCAAATTTCAAAAACATCTATCTAATTATAAAATAATAGTATATAAATATGGTACAAAAGGAAAAGATGTAATATTTGAAGGATTAGGAATAGGGAAAAAATTAAATCTTTTATTTCACAAAAACCATTACAACATGATTACGTCACTTACAGCAGCATTCAGTTGTATATATTATTATGAAGATTGTCATGTAGCGTATAATAACAAAAATGGACATAGATGTACTGGATCATGCCCGTGTTGTCAAAAATCACCACCATGTGATAAAAATTTGAAAAATATTATGTGTAATGATTGTAACAGAAAATTTAATGGTCAAGAATGCTTTAATAACAACTACAATAAGTATTTGCGAACTAATACATAAATGTTTCAAATGTTTAAGGGTCTACAAAAAAGATAGACAACACATTTGTGGTGAATATTTTTGTAAAATATGCAATAAGTACGTGGAAAGTAACCATTTATGTTATATCCAACCAAATAAAAATCAACCCAATTTAAAAAATTTCTTGTTTATTTTTTATGATTTAGGAACAAAACAAGAAAAGATTTTTGAAGAAAAACTTGTAAAAAATAATAAAACAGTCATTAAACAACATGAAACAACTTTATGTGTTTTTGAGCAAAAGTGCGATCAGTGTATTGATATTGTATCTTTATATTTATGCGCAAATTGCAAAATTAGAAGAAAAATAATTGAAAAAGGAAATATTATAGAAACTTTTCTTAACTACATATTGGAAATCAGAAAAAAATTTAAAAATATTATAGTAATTGCACACAATGGACAAGCTTTCGATCATCAGTTTATTTTGAATTTTATTTTAGAAAAAACATCCTTACAAACTAAACTGATAATGACGAGTACAAAAGTAATAATGATGGGAAATATAAAATTTATAGATTCGTTAAATTATTTTCCAATGGCTTTGTCGAAATTACCAAAAGCTTTTGATCTACAATTTAATATGAAGAAAGGGTATTTTCTTCATCTTTTTAACACAGCGAAAAATGAAAATTATATTGGGCAATTACCCTCTGTAGAATATTACAATCCAAACGACATGAAAGTAGATGAGCGTGAAACCTTCTTAAAATGGTATGAATAAAATAAAAATAAAATGTTTAACATTAAAAAAGAAATTATTGAATACTGTGCCAATGACGTTACCATTTTAACACAATCTTGTTTAAAATTCAGAGAAATGTTCTTGAAGCAGTGTAATGTTGAACCATTTCTAGAAGCAACAACAATTGCATCTGCATGCAATCTTGCATTTAGAAGAAATTTTTTAAAAGAGGACACAATTAGTTTAATTCCTAAACATGGATACAGAAACTCAGGCAATCAATCAAAAGTGGCTATTCAATGGTTAGTATGGGAAGAAGAAAAAAGAAATATTAACATCAGACATACAGCAAAACAGAAAGAATCATTTGTTAACGGTATAAAAGTGGACGGTTTTTGTTCAGAAACTAATCAAGTTTTTGAATTTTACAGTTGTTATTATCATGGACACCCTACTTGTATACCACATAACCGAAATAACAGTTTGCAAGACGATTCAAATGATACAATGAACACGAGGTATGAAAGAACTATTAAAAAAGCTGAAAGATTACGAAAATTAGGTTACGATGTTATTGAAATGTGGCAATGTGAATTTAATTCATTAATTAGTAAAGAAGAAGCAAGTTATTTAAAAAATCATCCGTTAGTGCAACATGCACCATTGAATCCTCGAGATGCTTTTTATGGAGGACGAACAGGAAATGTCTACAACTATTATAAATGTAAAGAGGAAGGAAAAATAAAATATATAGACATTTGCTCCTTATACCCTTGGGTTTGCAAGTACGGAAAATTTCCTATTGGTCACCCGCAAATTTATGTCGGGGAAAGTATTTGTTCTGCTCTAAAACTAAATAACATGGACGGAATTCTTAAATGTAAAATTTTACCACCAACGAACTTACTACATCCCGTTCTCCTACTAAAACAAAACAACAAGCTAATGTTTTCATTATGTCGAAGTTGTAGTGAAGAAAAATGGCTTAAAGAATGTTGTCCACATTCAGATGAGGAAAGAGCTTTAATAGGAACATGGGTAATTGACGAAGTTGTAAAAGCTATTCAAAAAGGTTATAAAATGTTAGAAATTTATGAAGTTTGGGAATACCAAACTACAAAATATGATAAAAACATGGATACACAGGGCTTATTTACAAATATGATGAACAAATTTATTAAAATTAAACAAGAAGCTTCAGGCTGGCCATCTAAATGTGTCACTAATAACGAAAAAGAAAACTATGTTAAAGATTTTTTTGATAAAGAGGATATTCAATTGGAGCATGAAAAGGTTTCCAACAATCCTGGCTTAAGATCATTTGCAAAATTAATGTTAAATTCATTTTGGGGCAAATTTGGTCAAAGAGAAAATTTACAAAAAACATCAATCATTAACCAGCCTAGAGAATTGTACAGCCTGTTAACAAACCCATCTATAGAAGTTTGTTATATTTTTCCGGTAAATGAAGAAAACATTATAGTTAATTGGCAGTACAAGGAAGAAGTAATGGCTTCCTTACCAACAGTTAATGTGTGTATTGCTGCTTACACAACAACTCAGGCGCGATTAAAACTGTACAGTTACTTAGAAAAACTTCAAGAAAGAGTCTTATATTACGATACTGATTCCGTAGTGTATATCAGTCGTAAAGGGAATTATGAACCTTCAGTAGGAAATTTTATTGGTGACATGACAGATGAGTTAGAATGTTATGGTAAAGATAGCTACATAACAGAATTTGTAAGCGGTGGCCCCAAAAATTACTCATTTAAAGTATATAGTACAAAAGATAAAGAAGAAAAAATTATATGTAAAGTTAAGGGTTTTTGTTCAAATTATGAAGCTTCCCAAAAAATTAATTTTAACACAATCAAAGAATCTGTGTTAAACCCGAAAGCAGACAACGAAATTTATATATTATCACAAAATATTGGGCGCAACAAAGAACACAAAGTAGTAACGGTTCCGCAAATAAAAGTATATCAACCGAAATCAGAAAAGCGCAACTTAGTTGTAGATGGTAGCTCCCTTCCTTACGGATATAAGAGGTTAAAACAAAACTAAATTTGTAAAAAAATAAAAATATAAAAATAAACTAAAAAATAAAAAAAAAAAAAACAAACAAAAGAATTACTTTCTCCAATTTTTATTATTTTACAAAGGTCGAAAAATAAAACTATGTATATAATATGTACTATGTTTTAAATAATACTATCTTTATTGATCCATGTATTATGATCGTCGCTAAACCCCAACCATTTTACGAAAACTTTATTTCCCTGTTTTTTAATAATTTTTTCTACTAGATAAGCATCAGGATATTTAACAGGAGTAAGTTCTTCCTTATAGAAACCACCAGAAATAGTATTGTTTTTATAGTCAACTAATTGATATGTAATGGGATATGTTTTATTTACTTTAACGATTTTAAAAATCTCAGTAGACCAGTTAGGTTGATAACCTTTTTCAAAATGCTTTTTGTGTTTATTTTATCCTTACATAATCACCAATTTTATATTTACTTTTTTGAAAAATTTTAGGTTCTATATAGATATTTCTTAATAAATATTGTTCATTTTTCTTTGTAACTTCTTCAGGCGAAATTTTTATTTTCTTATGTTTTGTTGAATTATACTTCTGTATTAATGATGATAAAATATGTAACCATTTATAATTTCCATTTAAACTATAGGTTTTCCACATCATATTTTTTAATGTTCTATTAAATCTTTCGACAATTGATGCTTTCATTTCGCTGAATGTGTGATAATGATTAATTGCTTTTTCTTTCATATAATTTTGGAATTTTGAACTAAAAAACTCCTTGCCTTCGTCAGATTGAATATTTTTGGGAATTGATTTTGATCTTTTAATTATTAATTTTAAAGAGTTTAAAACATTTTCAGCATTTTTTGTTTTAACAGGTTCTGCGTAAGCGTATTTTGAAAATATATCTATAGCTGTTAACATGTATTTATATCCTCTATTGAATTTAGCGTAGGGTATCATTTCAACTAAATCTATTTGCCACGTATCATTTATTCCCTTTTGCTTGAATTTTCTTCTGAGATATCGTTTTCTAGCTGGTCTATGTATCTCCGATACTATTTGAGATTTTGACATTTTTTTTATACCAGTCAATCAATTTTGAAACTTTAATTTTGTATTTTTTTCTTGTATAGCATTCACAAGTATCTGGTCCAGATGTAGTATCTTCGTACGCCCAAGGGCAAATAGTAAAATGGCTTCCGTGTATCGAACTAGTTAATTGTAATTTATGTTTAAATGTTTTCAAGTAATTGTTTAAATATAAAATTTGATTCTTATGTTCTTCCAAAATAACAGAATCATATACATTTAAAAACTCGTTGACATCCACTTTTAAAATAAGAAAAATAAAAAGGATTCGATTATTTATATAAGCCGTTGCAGCTCAATAAAATGAACAAAGTCAGTATTTTTATATTTAAGCATGATTGAAATAAAAAACTTTAGTATACATCAATTTATAATCGTAGCAGCTTAACTGTAACGAATTTTCCAGTTTTACTAAAGAAATAAAATGGATACTCAATCACCAAGAGGGAATGGGGTTTCAATTATGTTCAATAATGAAGAAGAACCAATTCAGATACCAAATTCATTTTGCTGGAATTGCTATAAATGTCTTATGCTGTATATGGTATTTTTATGTTTGCTTTTTATTATTTTTACAATTACTCATGTTTTAAATAACACAAAAATAATGTAAATAAAAGAAAAAATAAAATAAAATACAAGAAACATATGAGTCTAGTAGCATAGTGCTTTTATTTATTTCTAAATATTTTTTTATCTTATTTTTAAGTAAAAACGGAATTTCATAAAACAATCTAGAATAATTACATTGGAAGTTACATCGATCTAATGGTATATAAATTTCACTTTTTAGTATGATTTCATTGTTTTCTACACATTGTCTTATATATTTCCTTACATAGTCTTTTACACCTTCTTCAGCCTTGTGGTTGTACTCCATTACCAAATGAATAAAATCAATTACGATATGAAATTCATACATCTCTTCGCTCCTTAACACGAAAGTTTTTAAATTTTTTGTTTTTATTCCAAATTGTAGACAAGAGACCTTGTTATTTATAAATTTTTTTTTATACTTTGTTTGAAATTGCTGATAAAATTCCACCCAATATTCATAATTTATAAAAATTTCCTTTTTTCCAATACGGTGTATTGAAATGGTTGCTTCTAATAATTCTACGTGGAATCCTATTACTACTTTTACAGTATGTGTTTTGTTTAAAAAATAAGTATACGCCAACAACATGTTTTAAGAAACACTGATTAAGTAGTGCTGATCTAGCTATCTGTTTTTAAACTGCATTTTAATTGAGACATTTCATCTTTTATATAACATGATTTCTAGAAACACATGTCTGAATATTCTGCTTTCCAAATGAAATTTTCTTAAAACTATTTGATCATTTTTATACCAAAACATCTATACCATGCATACACGCAACAGTATTCTCCACAAACTTCTGAAAAGGTGCTTTGCAATGGTTTGTCATTGAAAACAATACATTTATCTTTTAAAAAACTTAAAATTTCCTTTTTATTTGGTAAACCCCCATAAGAATCAAAGTATTCAACACAACCATATTTTGGAATATATATGGCTAACCAATGTTCGTCAGGATCTTTTGCTTTATCAGTATTTATAATTATAAGGGAAGATCTTTCAAGGTTTTTTGGTATTTGATCTAAAGAAAATACACCTCTAAATTTTTTTCTTGTATATTTATTGCAATTTAAATATTTTATAATATCTAAAGTATTCATAAATTTAATTCACTTAAATCATAAACTGTACTGTTTTCTTTAATGTAATACGAAATGAAATCTTTTTTGATTTTTCCGTTAGTCAATATCACATTGAATTTTTTTAATATTTCTTTAAGTTCATAGCTTATATTGTCATTAATCAAAGTTCCAAACGAATAGTTTTCAAAATTTTCATATATTAATTCCTTAGTTGGAAATTTGTAAGAAAACTCCTTTACAATTTTTTTGCATTTTTCTTGAATCCCAACTAAGCAAATATCTTTTACAAATAAGGTATTCTTGTCGTCACAACAAAACGTTATATCAACAAGTGCATAAGACGATGATATCATCTTGAATATTAAAACCATTTATGCAAATGTTCTATTTATAGGTTTGCGAAAATATTTCTATTTTTGTCAATTTCAACACTTGCATCAAATTCTCCATAGACAATAGCAGGCAATACAGATGATTGCGCTTTAGATAACCTTGCCTCAATTCTAATTGTACCTTGATTAAATAGACCCTGACATATGTCATTTCCTGATGCATCTGGTGTCAAATCGAAAGCCAAGATGAAAAATCCACTACTAAACATAGATTTTGATATTTGATGTCCTTTGTCATTATGATAAATTCCTGTACCAGAAAAAAATGTATGGTATGCACGAGTATGACAATTATTTTCATCTGAAAAACTTGTTTCAATTGCTGTGTTTGGTACTTGTACACCATTTACATACAATACAAACTGGGACATATCAAAATGTCGAAAATTAAATTAAAAATCAAAATGCCCAATGAAGACATTATCAAGTGAAATAGTTGATGTATTAGAAGGAATTGAAAAACTTTTTACTTCAACACGCTTGTAATTGTACTTGGCATTCGATTTTTCTAGAACAGCATTATGGGCTAGTAGCACACTTGGGTTTATTGTTACGTGCTTCATAAATAATGCAGCTTCCAAAATTTTTAACTGAGATTCATCAGCGTCGTCTGCAAAAATATAAAAATCTGGTTTTTCAAGTGTTAAAGTAATTCTCACATCAACGTTATTTATTAAAAGAGTCGGTTGGTTAAACATATCAAAATGTAGTTTACCCATTAGCTCTACGATATTGCTGTTGTGATAAAGTTTTTGACGTTCTTTTGATCCATTATTATCTGGTTTTGCTATGTTTGGTTTATCTAAACACCATCCAGCACACTCTAAATGAATAGTAGCGGCATCCGTACCATAATTTAATAATGATTCAATGTATGCTCTGTAATGATAATTTCCATCTGACGGGGTAATACTTTTTCCGTTAAATTTACCATGACACTGTTTTATTATTGAGTGTAGAAGATTATTCACTACACTTGGTTGGGGCAATGCTTTTCCGTCGGCACCTTTGTCGTTATTCCAATGGTTTCCATCTTTTTTAACAATTTGTACCTTTAATCTAAGATATGTAGAAGATAAATCTCTGTATGTATCACCATGACCTAATGAGACAAATTCAATAGTTGATGGATTATCTAAAGAAGCAATAGGATTGTATGAAACTTCTTCAGATCTTAAAATACTAGATTGAATTGGCTTTGTTCTAAAAATATCCAATTCTGATTTCATACATTCAATCATAATTAATCAAAAATATCAACTTTTTTTCTTTTGCTATTAACTTTTCGTCGCTTTGAAGCAAAATAGTCGATTTTTTTAATGAGGCGCCTTTTTATAGTTTTTCTTTTTCTTTTTCCAAATCCATACATTTTGTTTAATTTACGATCTGCTCCACGTCTCACATTTTTTAAAATTTCTTTACCCCGATCCTGAACTACTTCTCTTATATTTGCTCCAGTTGCAATATCAGATAGAGCATTCATACTGGAATTAATTGCTTCATTTTTCAATATATTAGCTCCGGAGACAAACAAAGGTTTCAAATATTTAAAAAGCCCCCCAAAAAAACTTCCCAATCCTCGACCTCTTTGATAGGCAAGGGCAGAATGAAGTAAGGGGCCGATATCATCAAGCCCTTTACCAGATTGAACTAAATAATACTTATAATACAATCGTTCCATAATATAATAGAAAAGTAATATAATTTTTGCTTAATACCTTTTATTTATACTTTTTTAAAATGTAATACAATTTTTGTTGGAATATTACTATTGGAAAAATTTATTTGTTTACCATATTTATCACATAACATAATAGAAATATTATCAAAAAATTTATTTTCAACTGGAAA